CCCCAAAACCCCAAAACCCCAAAACCCCAAAACCCCAATTGATGAAACTGTGCTTAATTTAGTTGATCAAACTAATTCATTTATACATTAAAATATCTTTAAATGGAATCCATTAATACTATCCCTTTGAAAGACTTCATAGAAAAATTAGAAACACATCTCAAAGAAAGCGACGAAGTTGATATAATCGAGCCTATAATGCTATAAGTAATGAACGACGAAATCTAGCTCTCCGTTATTGATGATAACGGAGAAAGAATTATACTCTCTAAAGAATAAAAAGAAAATGAGCTGTAAAACTGTAAAGTCTACCAAATGTTCAAAGAAGATATTGAACTTTAGAACTATTTCTTCCATGAATTGACTCTACTGAAGGAGAAATGGACCTGCTACTCAGAGGCACCCGAGCGTACAGTTTACACAAAAAGAGAACCAGGGTAGAATATCCTATCAGTTTTCTTCAAATTCAAGGTTCCCACTAACTTGTTTTATCCCTTGGCTCTTCTATCAGAAGTTGATTTGTTTTAACACTGGATGCCATACATTTTGAGAAGCGAAATTATGCATAATTACTCTGATTTTAGAAAAGGTTTATTTGTTGAGAGATAGTTTCCCTTCCCACTAAGTAACAGAGTATTGATTTTGGCTGCATCAGCCTATCTAGTCAAGGAGAGAAAGGGAGCTATGATTATGATTAGATCATTCAATGACGCCAGAAAGCAAAACTGGGGTTTCGATTCTAATCAGATTCCTAAACATAACTTAGTTGAAGCTACAATGGAGAGAGGTTTTATGTACATAGAACACATTGATGACAATAGCTGTTGGTACCACGGAATGATTAATATTAACCCCAATTTTACATTCATTCCCGATTGGATTTTGAACTTCACAGTCAAAAGGATGATTTATGTGATAGTTGGAAAACTATAAAACAAAGATTTCTTTGAAAATGAAATGATTAAAAAAAGAATGGCTGAGAGACCAGAATTCTATGAGAGAGTTAAAAATAGACTAAGAGAATTTTCTAATATATGATTAAAATAATTAACTCAACTATTGAATATGCAAGATAAACATTGACTTAAGGGGTTTTGGGGTTTTGGGG